GAAAGGAATGACTCTCAGTAAGGTTTTTATGCGTTACCCACCGCATTGTATTCTACCATATTAGAGAATGCAATATCAAATTTAATGCTTGGTTCTACAGGGTAATGAAAATATTTCGCAAATTTCAGGTTAATGGTCACGAGTGGTATGAGTGAAACCTTGACCACCATGAGGTCTCCACCCAAAATGTCAAACAATTAAGGACAAAATCTAACGTACAACGTTTTGGCATCCGAAAATTTCATCAGCAGGCGTTGAACCACTGTAGAGAACTTTGTTTTTTCCAAGGCTTTGCCAAACGGCGCATTGAATTTAGAAGCAATAGTGTCCACCATAAGTTAACCACTAAAAATATTCTGCAGGAGTTCGCAACATATAGATTTACCGTGGAGAGTTGGGGAACACTGTTCTTTTGATAGAGGCATTTACAGCTTCGTTTTCCTTCAAGTATTGTTGCACTTGTACGTTCAGAACTTCGACCTGACCTCAAAGTGTTTGATTTTTACTTATGCTTTTAATTCGTGTAGGGGGGAATTATTTCGACCAAAGCCACTTCCCAATGACATTCGTGATCCAAATGGATGACCTCAGATAATTTGACCGTGAAACAGCACACAGTATTTTGGGAAAACACATCCATGGAACTATGACCGGGTAAAGCTAAGTAAAATTTGCTACTCATAAGTATAGTTTTGCTGTTCGAGAGGTTACTTGATGTCAGAGGAGTTTCTAAAAGGATGTTGTTGTTTTCATGGCAACTGTTGGGAGGATGACGCGTTGGTTTCAAAACTATTGTTGTTACTGTTAGACCATTTCAGGGAAGGATTGGGGAGAAGGTAACCGAGGCAACTGCTCCGTAAAATGGTCTTGATAGTTTTTTTTTCTTATTACAGACTCAAATTGGCAATTGCAGCAAAAATGACAGAACGCCACAACGATTTGGTAGAAAAAGATTTTCGTTTTAATCACACGTTCTCCACACAACACTCACAACGGTTGCTTCATAGATCTTGCACAGAAGACTCGGTGATGGAGTGGTCACTGTGGTGGTTGCAGCTGTGTTAAAGGGCATTTGGATCACTTTCTTTTTGTGTCGATGACTTGCGAACCGTCCATCGACGAGTCAATAATCGGCGGTTATCCTTTCCAGGGTTTTAGATTGAAAATGCAAAACTTCGCACTCTTTGTCTTCTTTTTTTGGTTAAGTGTTGGAACTCGGGCAAGTAAATTGTTCCTTTCTACACTTGCCAGTTATGACGGCCACGCACTCGTCCAGTCACACAAAACAATTTGGTGGTTCAGATGGGTAATTATCTTTGTTGAAAGTGTACTTTTATCAATGCAAATCCAATCTCCCGTCGTCAATTTTCTACTTCACTTTGGGACAACCAGAGCCGGGGACGTACCAGACAGACGCTCAAAGATGGTAACATCGTTGTCGGGAGTCACTTCCTGGGAGGTGGGTACGTCTGATGCTTCGATGGTAAGTTTGGTCGTAATCTCTGGCCAGGTGCGGTAAGACGTCCATGTAAATGAGAGTGTGCTGAACGGACACTTGAATCTGGTTTTCGCAGCACGATACAAAATCTGAATTTCTTCGAATCCCGCAAGATGGGATGGATCATAGTAAATGCTGCATAACAAGTTGTCTATCAGGACTCTCTCGTTAATAAGTCATCCACTCTTTATTGATCCTATTTTGGATGCTGTGGGGTGTCTTTATTGAAGTCGAGGATACTGGAGGTGATGGCGGTAATGCGATGTCTCTTATCTTTCTTTCGTTCTCCACTTCTTGTTTCCCATCTTTCTTCTTCACTTCTGTCTAAGGAGGAGTGGGGGACATCATATTTTGTAATCAAGTTTTGAGTTATTCCCGTTGGTGTGTTGGACAGCAACAATATTTATCGGGATTGGAGCTGATGACAGTGTTTGAAGGACTTATCGAGCTTCTTGTTCCTCAAGCATTCGTAGGGCTGCGTTTGTCTTTGTCACAGGGGATGGTGGTGGTGGTATTGGTTGTAACAGTCTGTCGACCTGTTTCAGCTAAAGTTTTTAGTGAAAGAGCTGAAGTCGTTGCACACTTGACCATACCATTGTAATTTTTTGGTTTCTGACAAAAGACTGCGATTCATCAACAATTACAATTCATGTTGCAACTGATACATCTTGATCAAATAATGATTGGGAGGAAATGCTGGGTCCATTCTTCTTGCCAACAATGGAATTCCATCCATCGTTTATAAGGCACTAAAGTGAGTTTTCGTCCTTCCATTATATTCCAACGGTCACGTCTGAGAATTTTTTATTTTTTTATCTTTGACTTATTCTTTGTGAAGCAGCTCCCATCATGACTCCTGTAATCATTCTTCCCAATACTCCTTTCCTAGTGCAAACAACTGGTGCAAAATTTATCTCTTAAGGGATGGGTATTTTCTTTGTGCATCATTAGGCAAAAAAAGTGTCGATGATTAGCTAATCATTCTTTATGGTGCTGAGTAAAGGTATCGTGCCTTTCAAAACATTCAGATATCATACAAACACAGTATGAATGAGGTCTTTGGAGATGGTTTGAGTGGGTGGCTTTCGCATCGATGATTGGGCATTGTGCATGATGGACAACACGTCCCAATATTTGGCCAAACGAAAAGGCATTCAATTCCTTTCCTAGGGTATAGAAGAGTGGTGGTTTCTGGGGGTGACATATTTCTTTGTTCCGGAGTACACACAAATACAATTATGTCGATGATTTGGCACACATTCTTTTATCTTGATTTCGGGTGGAGTATTTTCGGACGAGTTGGTAAGGGGTGTGTCCAGTTTTATTGACGACCTCTGTGACTATCGCTTCGTCAAAAATATTTTTCTATATCGCCAAACAATCCTTTTCTATGGTTACCCTTCATTTTCTATGGACGATATGGTCGTTTTTAGGATATACATTGATGCTTGGCTAAGAGTTTTCTCAGATGCATTGTCAAACTACGACATTGTTCTTTTCATTTTCATTTTCCTTTCTGGACAGACAAATGACGATGGTGATTTTGTGCACTTCTGGTGGGTGATATCATTGTTCTGTAGGACAAATACACTGATATCCATCGTTTACACTTGGTCCGTTTTGTAATGGACTGTTTGTCACCACAGATTGTCTTTCCGTCGTATCATTTTCATGGCAGGCATCACTCGACATTGAGGTGTTTACAAGGGACAGTTCTTGCTTGGATAAATCCAGTAAACTCTGTAACATGTACTATCACTCTTAGACTTTGATGGGGCAGGTACTTTGTTAGCAATTTGCTCAGCAGCTAAGGAGGTGGGGTGTCAGGGCTTTAGAAGTTCCTTGAGACACGGGTTTTCATTTTGTCATAAAATTAGGAAAGATGCATGTCATATTGGGTTTGGCTGCCATCGGAAGCAACGGAGAAGTAGAGGAAACTGAGGATATTGCAGACGCATTCAACTTTGCTGCAGGTGGTGGCTTTGAGAGGTAACTTTGCACCCTGGTTGCAATGCCTACCTTACTGGTTGAAGCTGTTTCTTTTGATCTTTTCAGGGGACTTGTCTTTGTCTGGGTCTATGATCTGATCTTGACACCATTAATATTTTTCTTCTGAGTATGTTTGGGAGTGGCTTTTTCATTGGGAATGACTTGTGCGGTACTGGGATCCCGTTTTAACAAAAAGCGAGCAATGACACCTCCTAGGGAACCGCTATCTCATAGTTTCAAAATGATTTTATTTTCTGTTTGAGTGTTGATGAGTGATCAGCTAGTTGCGCGAAGACAAATTTGTTCTCTCAAAAGAGCGTTTAGTTTTATAAGAGATGTGAATAATGTCTTGCGGTAATTGACGTGCTGTGACGGCAAACCATAGTAAGACTTCTCAGAGACTGGCTTCTGAGATACGAGTACGTATTTGTGGATTTTATTTTTTACTTATGTTGTACAAGGCACGAAGAAATTTGACGGGTAGGTGAGACTGAAGGGACGTCAGATCAACGTGACCGAGGTTTTAACAGACATTTTTAAGTCGACAGTGACGTTTATAATTACTGGGTTCGGCCACTGATAGCGGCAATAACTTCTGGTGTGAATTTATCTGTGATGTTAATTTTAACTCTTGAAAGATGTTGTGGCTGATCTTCAGGTGGTGGTTGAGGAGGTTGCCCGGGTGGTGGTTGAGTTGCTTGAAGACGGCAAGTAATATCAACAGTCAATGTTTCAAGAGCTTTCTGTGTTGCCTCAGTTGCTGTGACAATTTTCTTTGTTGGTTCGACAATTGGTTTAAATAACTGTTCTGTATCCTCTGTAAATTCCACTTGCAACTCCTGACGTGATTGTAGTTGTTGCTTGACAGAATCACGGAGGGGCGATATTTCTTAATTGCTTCTAGTCGCTGTCGAGCTAGTTTAGCTGTGTGAAATTCCATTATTGATATACAAATGCTTTGATTAAGCCACACACACACACATCAGCAGGAAGGGCGATGACAAAGATCGAGTGTCCGACGGATAAACGAACACACCATAAAAAACGAAAACACAGAAGTAAAAAATAAAGTCAAAAATGAGCTAACCCAATTTGAGAAGTCTCGATCAGTTTGACGTTATTTACCTTGCATTTTTGTTTTTGCATGAGCTTTGATTTTCAAACATAACCTTCCTAAAAAGTTGTAGGATTCGTCCACCCTGCTGCTAAACAAAACTTACCTCTACTTTACAAGTACTGTATGTTACAAAAGAAACTATTCCCGTCTATCACTTCACATCTTTTTAATGGTTTCTCTGTTATATAACTACGATGCAAATTCTATAAATGTCCACTAAATACCGTAACTGTCATGCACTACAAAAATTGTTTTATTTTGCTCACTCATGAAAAGCTCATTGGAATGTAACGCCAACAAGTGAAATACAATCACATCATGCAATGTCCAAAGAGTATAGCATAACCTTTAGAGTGTACTGAATTTGTGTGGGAAAATACGAACTAGTTTGAGACCGCTTCGGTGGCCTAGTGGTTAGAGCGTCAGCCTCAGATGCGGGAGGTCGTGGGTTCTATTTTCGGTCGAGTCATACCAAAGACTTACAAAAAAAATGTTACTAACAGCTGCTTCACTTGGCGCTCAGCATTAGGAGATTAAATTTAGGACTGGTAGGCCTGGTGTCAGGATAATGTGACTGGGTAAAACGTCATGCTACATGTCTGCGGCATGATGCTCAAGTGCTAGACATCAGTATAAACTGCCGCACTGCAGACATCGTAGCGATATGAATGAAAACTTTTTAAAGCTACGTTAAAATCCTAAATAACACACACACGAACTAATTCGAATTCAAATTTTCCTATACCAATGCAGAAACCTTTTTATTTTGAACTTATCTTGTTTTTCTACCTAAGGATTAAAAATAATATAATGCACAACAAGAATTAAAGTAATTGAATTTATAATGTATTCCAGAATAAATACACAACCGTAATTTATCAATACACAATACTACAATTAATGTGCACATAGCACCGCCCAGCGACCTTTGAACTTCGTCACACGCTCGACATAATTTGAAAAGGAATTGTCGTTTTGGTCTACTAAAATTGAGACTTTGAGTCATATTGTGAATGAATAAGGATTACAACAACTTTTCAGTTGGTCTGTAACGGATAGATTTTTTCTATTGAGTCTGCTCAGTTATGCTTTTCTGTTTGTTTATTTATTTTCTGTGCTAATTCCGTACCAAGTACACGAGATTTGAGCAGGGAGGGACACGTCTTGATACTAAATGTGTGTTTCAGTACTGTCATTGCATGTAATCATAATGTGGGGAAAATATGAACTCTTTTAATTGAAATTATCCAAAACGTACTATGGAATATCACGTTCGTTTCATTTTGAGTGCGGAAAGGAGAAAGTGATTTCAGTTGGAAATATAGTCGAAATAACGATACAATTTCACGGTGAATAATCACATTTTAGAATCCTTGACATAGGTTATGTATTATGGATGTGGAAAATTAGCTAAGAAAGTACATTTCGAGGAAATTCACAATGCAACAATGTATGTATATTTTTACTATTGTTATATCCAGCTAAAGAAGACATCCTTATATCTTATCACTTGAATGCTCGCTGTAGGTACCCAGCTCTCTAATGATCTGTACGGATTCTATCGCTAGCCTAAATCCAAAACATTGTACCAAAAATAAAAATTTATGTGGAAAATTGCAAACCAGCTGTTTTGTGACAGTACATTCAGCCAGAGGAAAAGAGAATTCTTAGTCGTCTTCGTGTACTGGCTCTGAGGCTCTTACATATCTTCAAAAACCTTCAGTTGTATTTTTCCCCTCAAATTTTTTTCTTATAAAATGGCACGTCTCTGATAGATATGAGACAGCCCTCACACTCTGTATGCTTGTTGATGGTATTTTTATAGACCCCAAAGAGCACCAGTCACTGTATGATCCAGTCGATTTGCGAAAAGTTATGAACATTTCTCCTAAATAAACTTTTTAAGTAACCAGAACGGTATTTTCAATATTATGTCTCTCACGTTTGTTGTGGACAGTGCGAATATCCAGTGCCGTCTTAACAACATTGTAGGCTCTGGGCAAAGCAATGCACTGGGGCCCCTACCTGCCCTACTATTCATTATAAAAATGGACAGCATGATGCCTCAAGGCCACTGCCCAGTGTGCCCATGCATTAAGACGGTACTGCGAATATCACGTTTTTTCGTTTGCTTGTTGGAAAGTTTTATTTGTGACTCAGTAAACTCACCCACATCGATAACATTATCATCTCTACTTTAAAATGGACGAAAGAGCTTCGCTAGTTCATTCACAAACAAATCTAATAAGCCAAAAGCTAAAAGGTATGTTATGTGAGCATTCATTGTTTACAACCAAAGTGGTTCCGAATATACGATACTATTTTAGATATACCTTTCATGCAAAAAAAGCCGTAGAATATGAAAAATACTACACGATTTTAACAAAGCAAAGTTAAGGGCGGAAAAAAAAAATAAGCGGAAGAAGAGGCGAGAGTTTAAAGGTATGACGGACGAAATTAGAGCCAGGAAATAATTCCAAGGATTATGGAAAATTTGAGACGATATAATTAATGCTGAGCTCAAGAACTATATTGTAAGGTTATGCAAGCGTCTGACAGATCATGCCTATGCATTTAAAAAAAAATGTTTCCATGTAGGCCTCCAGGCTGTAGATATTGCCCGTTTACAGATGAACTAATTTCAGTGTGTCAAGCTGCACGTGCAACACGTCAGTCCGCCAAGACCTGGCCGGTATATTTCAAGGAGTATACATATACATTGACAGTGAAATAATCAAATTTATAATGCTGTTATCGAAAATAGCTAGTTGTATTAGCAAATAGAGGAAAATGACGTGTGTTCACAAAGATATTTCCATAGATTAGAATAGCTGCCTTACTTCCATGATGTAGATTTATCTGTGCATTTTTGAGCGAAGACTTGTCAGCAAACAACAATGACAGATATACTGCCAGCATACGGTTAGTGTTGTAAAAAATATTTAAGTTTTTGCGAGAGAGAGAGAGAGAGAGAGAGAGAGAGAGAGAGAGAGAGAGAGAGAGAGAGAGAGAGAGAGAGAGATGCATACCAATAACATGTACATGTACTGATTTCAATGTTTGATTGCAAATCACAGTCATTGACTCACCAGGTTAAGGTACATAACGGCAGGGACTGGTGGTGGAATGCATGGTTTTATGTTATAGAAATGATAATGGCGGAAGCTTGCCAAGCTGATCCAACCAGTACTGTATTAAAGTGTACATTCCATCAAATATAAAAACGCTATGCTAACCGTGATTTGCATTGACAGAATCATTACACGTTTATCCATCTATGCATCCCGTTCACTAACTTGATCTTTCTTCCTTTTTAAGAATGCTCCGGTGGCCTAGTGGCTAGAGCGTCCGCCTTGGATGCGGGAGGTTGTAGGTTCGACCCCCGGCTGAGTCATACCAAACCTGGTATTAACAGCTGCCTCACTTTGCTCTCAGCATTACAGGTCTCAGAATAATGTGACTGGGTGGGACATCATGTTACATGTCTGTGGCATGATGCCCCAGTGTTAGACATCACTATAAACTGCCACACTGCATACATCATAGCAATATGACAGAAAAATTCTTAAAGCTACTTAAAAAATCTAAATCACAAATCAAATCTTCATTATTAAGGCCTACTGGTAATGCTTTTAAGTTTCCTAATGTGTTCATGGGTGCTGGGACGTTTCCAAAATTTTAAAGAGAACCTAACATTCCTCGATAGGGCATTAAAAGAAACGCCTGAGTCTATTTACTAAAATCGCGCATAATGCCCAATAAATGAACACAATAATAAAATCATCAGATTTCAAGTGACTGTACCTTTGTGTGTCTGCACGTTTTTTTTTTTAGTCTGGTGGTGTTCGGCCTCTCCCATACATCCGGCCATGATAACGGCATGCAGAGCTTGTATTGCAATCACCGTGTTGCATCAAGACCAGACAAGATTCAAGGAATATTACATTTTCCATACAACACACACAGAAGTTGTTACGCACATCGCATGCGATAAACATACGGAGTACTACAGTGAATCCTGCAATGATGGTCTTCTTTCAGGCAATAAAGTTCCATTAATGCCGATTAAATTACACCTGATCTATGATTTGATGGCTATTACAGTTTTCATGTAGAAAGTAAAATTGTGATCAGTAATGTTGATATCGGGGGGAAAGAATCCGAAATATATGTGAAATTTATATTAACAACAGAGGTATTCCATTGTTTACAGTTGACTTGCTTGTCGTCTGTCGATTCACGGATTATGGTCATGTAAATATTAATCGACCTGATTTAGCTTTCTTCCAGTATTATCAGTCTCTCCTTCATAATACCCGTCTAAAGACAATGAAAACTGTTAACTTTGCTATATATACTAATTGTGCATTACATTCACGTGTACTTCTACAATGAAAGCTACGGTGTGTCAATTAGGCCATGTGTGCGAAAGAGTTTAAAGTTATTTTTGGCTTTATAATGACCGCCCTGGTGATCTAAATGGTTAGAGCTTCCGCCCCGAATACAGGAGGTTGCAGGTTCGAACTCCCGCCAGTCATGCCAAAGACTTATAAAAATGTACTAACAGCTGCATCGCTTGGCGCTCAGCATTAAGAGATTAGTGTTAAGACTGGTCGACTTAGTGTCAGGATAATGTGATTGGGTTGGGCATTTCTTGCATTCATATTAAATACTGATTTCCAGTGTAGTAATTTGCAAAGACAAGGGAACCGGGGATTAATTTAGACGTGATGGAAAATACATGCAAGTCCTAAGGGAATTGTGTGCGTCAAAAATTGAGAAGGTGGAGGGGTATCGTAGTCCTAAGATTTAGTGTCCACCGTATTAATTGATAAGGATGAAGGAGATAGGTGAAGCGAAGAAAGTAGACAAAATTGATTCACACTGCATTAAAGTTTATCACAAAAGTAAAACCGCTACGTTTCAAATAGAACGATCTGTATACATTTGTATTACCATACAATGATAATGATGAACCTAAAATATCTGAAAATGCATGCCAATGAAATCTCAGTTCATTTTGCTTTATTTAAGGGAGCCTAGAAGACAGTAGGATATTGTGGCAGTCAAGTAACTTTGCATACTTAAATGTCGTAAATGGAGACCAGAGAGTATTTTAATATGTATTTGTAATGTTTGTGATACAAAATTTCAATTAAATCATTTTAGGCAGGCATATGTATAGACAGCTAAACGTAGAGCACGGACAAAAGTACATATGTACTTAGAATATTCAAATATTTCAACGCGTTCATCTGGTGATTGATGGTTGTTTGTCATTGACATTATTCTCTATATTATTATCATTAACATACATGTACAGCTCTGTCTTTGTGTTTCTCATCAAACGTACGTTTATGGCCAGTAAAGGTTCCATATCTTTCTGTAGGATTTACTTTCCAGGTTTTTTTGACGGACTAAAATATCTTTCTTTGTATAAAAATATATGCAGAAAAAAACTCTTCAGTT